TTCAACGGGACCGGAAAACCCGATTACGACATCAACGCGCTGTTGCAACTAAATAACATCAGAACAGTTGTACTCACTAACCTCAGTGTCCCCTACACCAAACAAAATGTAATGCGTAATTGTAAAGAACATCAGCATTAGAAATAAGCGGAATTTCTTTGCATGGTTGCTACTCAGCAGCTATATACATGGGAAGCAAATTTAACTTTCGGGTGCTCGACAAAAAAAGATGTCCAAGAATGGGAGACCAAAAGCATAAAAAGAAGCTGCGATATTATTAGTCAACATCATTCGGAAATTTTCTCGCCGGGCGAATCACTGATCACCACACTGCTGTGACAGCGTAAATCTAAAGAAATGAAAAAATCTGCAAAAATGCCATGTCCACCAGTGAATGTTAAAGCTGATTCACTATTTTAGCCACTGTGATATCGCTAACAGTTTGTAATTAATTCATCTGACACTTTGGTGAAGTCAATAATTCCTTCGAAACTGTGCCTCAGAGCGTCGGGTACTCTTGTTTTCGGGGCGCCCTTACACAAGGATCACTAATTATCTACGAAAACAAGGACACGTCCGGTTGATTTTAGGACACTTAGGCACTCGTGACTAACCGCACCACCGAACACAATGATTAAGCTGGCCATGCAACGTATTCGCCTTCAATTAATAATAGAAGATCAAGTAACAACATACAGCGAAAAATATCACTTTAATTGCGGGGATTTCCGGTAAATTATATATTGTATGTATTGCATAGTAACATTATATTATTGTCGATGTCACCATTACACTAGTAATGAAAATGATACCAACCCAGTAGCGAAAGCAGATTGCTTTGTATTGAGAATACAAAGTTTGGATTCCACTCCGTAAAATCGTTTTAAGTACAGAGAAAGCGATATGGAAGTTACGCAGAGAAAGGCCGTTACGGAATCCAACAGTCAAGCAAGCGAGGGTACAGCACTCGCAGTCGTCTCAATTGACGTCGTTTAGTTCATCATTGTGTCAAAATCGCGTACTGGAGAGGAACGTTGTACCGGCTTGTTCAATGTTGACGTAGTCTCTTTTTCGTGCGAATCGAAGTGTTTCTTGAACTTTCTGGCATTTCGATGATGCCCCCTTGAAATTGACGACAAGTAGACACTTTGCTAGGTTGACTGCACCTCATTCGGACTATAACCCACTAGTGACTCTAACTGACTCAACCCCATTGTTAAAATATACGCATCGCTTCTGCACGAAAGTCTGGAATTCTGCACAATCTAACAAACTCAGTCACCCCAGCCAATTTCCTTGTAACTGATGATAAACCTGTAACTTTTTTAATCCTTCTATTGTCTAACTTTTGAAGAGTGGTCACATGTCCTTTGCGCGTAAATTATATCCTTGGATTATTATTCTTCCTAACCAGTGACTTCAGTTTCTACTATCACTTGAAAATAGCATTTTGGGGGCTGTCATCTTTTTTACTGGCAAGATGAACAACGCACTTTCTACGCAACAACGCAATAATGCACATCAGCAAATTCCCATTGACCACAATACCGCCTGCGCTTAAGGCTACCTGGGCGGAATTATTTCTGTCCCTAAATATCCGGCCAAATTTAACGCCTTTTAAGGTCGCCTTTCCCCATGGGTTTCCATCCATTGTCTGTTAATAAAATGTCAAAAAAAAACTCATCACAATCTTGAAAGATTGCATCACGAAAAATGGCTTGTTTATTCAGCCAAGTGGGCAAAGAATTAGGTTGGCGCCATAAACCAAAATCAAGCTCCTGATAACCACGGGTGACTTGAGTCACTGAACGACACACGCAAATCACCGTCTATCGTTTACTTTTGCCCCAAATGTTGTCCCCGATCTGATGGATCAACATCTCACACTTGCATGAATTGTCTTCACAGTCAAGAGCTTAGTGAAACTCGTGAAAGTTCAAGCTCATTTTCCCTCATCTAAACGACCTAACTCATCAAGACACGGACAGTTGCTACTTCATTCATCTTGTCACCTTTAAACATGCCTGTTTCTCCTACTGACATTTAGTTCCGTAAAATGGTTAAGGCCATACGTGGTCTGAAGGGTATTCCACCAGTCCTTTTAGAGCAATTAGCAATGGATATAATGGGAATTCGCTCGCTGGGTCGCAGAAGCAAAGCATTCTTCCAATCCAGGAAAAGTGATGGGCAGTTGGACTCAAGATGGAATCTCGTCATGTAATGCAAGGCTCCTACTATTGCAGAATTGGTCGGACTAGCATTTCCCCGTATTTTCGAAAATTCTGTTCGGATCTCTCCTACAGAGCAGTTCAAAAGAGACCCAACTATTCTCTCAAACGTAAAACAGACGTGATCGTTTGCAAAACTTCCTAAAAAGTAACCTAGATCTTTCGATAGACAATCTCTGGACTCAATACCGGACTCCGTTACTGAGCTAACTTGTGGGCGTGGATAAACAGCCAACGGACCACCAGGAGGATTCTAAAGTTACCAATTGGCCACCAAATGATTTCCTCGTCTGTGCACGTCTGTAAAGCTGTGTAACTCGTCATTACCTCCACAAGAAATCACCTCAGCGTGTAGGGTTTTGGGATAATTTCGTGCCGACTTCATTACTGTTCTAGAACGCGGTTGTCAAATCACTGGAGCGGTCGTTTCTTTCCCTGATTTGCTCAATCTAACAAGGAAAAAGTAGTTTAATGAAAAATTTACTAAACTTTCGTGCAAGATGCGCCGAACAGCATAACGGCGCAACAGCTCCTATTGTCTTTAGTCAATTAGTGGGCCTCCACAAAATTTCAAGCTTCAGCTGAACTACCTCACTTCCCGCGACTACTTTGACGCAGAATGAATCATCCATTTGATGAACTTGCGCCCGTATAGCGAGTGAATATTTAACATATCGCTACAAGCCGTTCGGATAGGTCAGCTGATGGTCCTGTCGGACTTTTGTCCTGTTAGAACTCAACACACACTCAATGTGACTGACACGGGGCGCTCACGTGCGAATTTCATACGAATCGACTGCGCGTCACATGTGATTGTGATCCCCAGTGTTGCGATCAAGAGTACACATTAGAGTCGTGTATCATTTATTTGGGTGCACGAGGAGTGGCTATCACTGCTAACCAAGTGCTAGTTGCGTTTATGTCAAAGTTGCACACCGCATGTTGCTGGGACACGTAGGAACGTGTCTTGGGTGAATAGTTCTGCAATTTGGTTATCTTACAAGCAAATGTTCGGGGGTTGTCGAAACGAAAAACTGCCACAAAATAGTTAAGTGCCGCTTCACAAATTAATGTAACCAATCAACAGGTCTCACTGTCCGAATAATTGCTTGCTATTTATTTTTCGATTATTTGTAGAATATTTCAGTCATATAGCAATTACTTACGTGTATCCACGAGACGTTTATTCAGGCACATTGCGTAATTACCTGTCACGCGCTTCCATTACCAAACAGATACCGGTGAAAACAGCATACACCAACTATGTCAACAACATTGCAACGAAAGGCGATAAAATCAAATGCCCAAAGCTAACTCAGCTTTCAGTTATCCATAAAATACTTCAATAAACTTCCCATTGAACATCTGAGTCGATTTCGACGTATCTAAAAGGCTTATCGAACGGCAAGCAAACAGAAATAAAAATGTACGGTAAGCAAACAGTTTGAGCCTTGCAACAAATGCACTCTCCACCGTGCCATTACCTCAGGGGTGAGGGAATGGAAGAAACCTAAAAAGATATTGGAGACCAAGGCCAAATATACTGGGTAAATTATGATGAGCAGATGTTTAGTTAGTGACAAAGTTCGAAACTTTATGTCTGAAATGTGGTTGATTTTCGTGTCTGAAAGATGCTGCTCAGAATAAAAGGGGACGTGTTTACTTTCTGTGGTACAAATCTATACAGACACATGTTATTTGCCTATGCCGGGTGCCGACACCATAGACTTAACACGTAAAGGGTCACATATGACAATCGTGGTGGAAGTGGAATAAAAAGTTCAATTCAAACTAATTCACAAAATATAATAGTCACAGGCACTGGATCCAGTAAAACTGATCCAAATGAACGGTCTTAGCTGCTCTACCCTGGGTCGCCTACTGAGCATCGACAACCAACGTCAGATGAATTAACCGCATTTCCAGAATACCATCTGTAAACAATACGGTGTAGTGAAGCGGATGAAAGGATACTAGGCTATTTGGGAAAAACGCGATATCGTACCACGTTACCGAGTGCCTACAGTTCACTGGCATAAATGTTGACGCTAAGGAGTAATCATTATTCTGATGGCTGGTTGAACCAGATTGCTTGTTCACTTATCTACCAACAAGTACGCCCCAGCATCAGTGAAATACACTCCGGAACAATTCCAGCTGAGGAAACACCTATTCCGGACCAATCATGTTCGAAAACTTAGTGATCCGAAACTTCCGGCGGGAATATTTTTGACGCCAGCTAACCAGACAATGTGCTACAATGGCTCGATCCGCTCGAGCACCGTTCCCAACAAATGCATGCCTAATCGGATTGACAGAAAGCCAGAGGTAAATGGTTGAAAGATGTCAGTGGCGTTCATACTGTCAGTTTCAACCCAGATTGTCTGAGTAATTTTAGGAGGTATGTCTGTGATAGATTAGCCGCAATCCCTCTCCCTATCGTATTTCTTCTTTTCACCATAAGGCGTTATTCAAGTAATTTGAGGGACCAATGTTCTGCCCTAGAGGATGCTACTTCGTTCGATGAAAGACGGTTTCAAAGGGGGGCCCTTTTCGGAAAGACTACATAGGCAACATGTCAGGGCTTAGCATTTTTCTACATATGGTCTCGATCAGTCAGTAAGTGAAACGATAAGATGACTATCTAAAATCTCTTCCGCGTTACTCATGAGTCATACAGGAACAATGAACTTTCGGAGACATTGTGTACTGCTTACTTAGCACGCCTCTCTCTAGACTGAAAGATGCGTAAAGAGCCTCGTAAATCAGGACGAAAGCATGTAATTTTGACAAAAGTCTTTTGAGATCATCATCATTCGGACATATTATACAGACAAAGAAAGGAAGTGAGGTAGTTCCGTAAAATCGACAAGTGAAACAACCCAGAGAGACAATAAGTCAAACGATGGAAGGGTAGATTTGGAAAACTGGGCGAAATGAGATTGCAATCAGATGGAAAGAAAAAATATTAAAGTTTTCAGAACAGTCTCCGAGTACAAAGAAAACTGTACAGTAGTTGATTCTAGTAAAAAAAATCGGGCTGAAAACCAAGAAAAGACAGTTGGGTATTGTACTTTGGACTAGATTTGATGAATTCCCACCCAACTGAAATCCACATAACACGGTGGGTGTAGACAGCAGCAACGGCATTCTTCTGTACATGGCGGAATGCGTTATCCACGGGGGTGCATTATCCTCCGAAATGGTTTCTCCATAACAATAGCGCATTAAAGAAAAAAGCATAAAAACTGGGTTTGGCAAAAGGGTCTTGGAGTTGAACATGGAGACATTAAAGTTAGGAAGGTATTGACTAGTGAGATGAAGTGATGAGATCAACAGAATCTAAGAGTATTGACTCATGTTAATCCGAATGAGACGATGGATGCGCATAGACAAATGAACCATGAGTGTGGGATGGTGGTTGACTCGGAAGGCATCTGGTGCGCAACTATATTGGGCAATACAGAAGTCATCTCTCCCGTTTTCTTCGTTGGTCGATTCTCGTTATCTTCCGGAGGTTCTTTGACATCCGCGAGAGGATCCTGATATCGTGTGTCACCGCCACTGTGGTCAAATATTTGGTGATTGAATAGTAAAGGTAACTGCGGCCAGTCAGCATGCAGCACTGAAGTAAAGTGAGCATCACTGGATGATTTTGAAGCAGCTGTATCGGATACTTCGGCCTCAGATTGGATATGATCAAGTAGAAGCTGAGATTGCATTGGATTAAGGTGCAAAGTCGAAGACAGTGGGGGAAGATGAGTTTTTAAGCTAGGTGGTTTCCAATCTGCCCATAAGTCGTTCGGGTCGGGTGGTGGTGGGGGGAGCGGAGGTGGCAGCTGTGGGCGGGGAACATGTGCAAACGGGAAGGGGACTTTTCCTATTGACACAGAATGACCGTCTTTCTGCACTGAATCCGAAGATGCAAATCCAAGAGGATGATTGGGTCTCAGGACTGACGGATGAACATGATTTTGGAAGGGCTGTGACGAACGGGATTCAAGCACAACAGATCGCGATCCAGTATTGTCGTGTAGCGATCCTATTCCCGAAACTACTTCGTTTTTTGGTAGCTGACGGACCCCTCGTCGATGAGAAGAGGCATGCAGCGGAGGAGGTGTGTTGGTACCGTAGAGAATCAAGATCCAGTCATGAATAGAAACTAAGAAGAGCCAGAAAAGCGAGGAATAAGGCAGTGGTAAAAAATGATTGATTCAATTGGTAACGCGAACAAACCAAACGTGGTACGAACTGATGCGACACCGGTGCGGATTCGTGGATACTGTTTCATCATGAATTAGAGAAATTCTTTCGAAATAGAGCTAGACCCAGCTGGCTGGATTACGATACACTCCTGATTCGCTAGATTAGGCTAACCCTACGGTGATGATCGGCCTGTTGGTAGGAACGGTACAAAAGTATAAAAAGATACCATGCGGGTAGGTTCTAGGATTCGTGCAAAAAATAAACCAAAACCGAGGACAGCTCCACAGACGGCGCACTTCATATAACCAACCCAAAATGTTTTCTTAAACATGTGAAATGGTGCTCCTAAATAGGCATCCCAATGTATCGTGGTGAGAAATCAAAAAGCCCATTGTTTGTAAACCCCTTTTTTCTGATCAATAAGCATAATATAAGCTTCCGGACTTGAGTAAGAAGCACGTTTGTTGGCGGTGCACCCGAACTTCAATTGGTGGTACGGTCGGCATTACTGTGTCAGGTATTAGTAGGTGGTAGCCATCGATAACAATGTTGGACGTTATTACCAATTAGTTGCACTGTTCTATATATGTCGCTTTCTGTCTTTTTGTGAATAAGCCTCTCAACATGTGATAGATAGTTTGACCACGACTGGTGTCTGCTATTAGAGGATAAGGGTGCAAAGCCTGCGCACACAAGCTTAGATAATATCGGCAATTTTAGAACACAGGCAAGTAACTCGTAGCCTACGGCGTCGAGAACGCTAGTCATGGGAATAATCAACTGGGAAAACGAAGATGAAACCAGATCCGTGGGAGATTAGAAAGAAAGTTGGGGTCATGTCATGTAATAGGAATAACACGTATTGATGTGAGTCAGGGACACATTGGGTATCGATCGAATGCATCATGCGGGTAGGTTCTAGGATTCGTGCAAAAAATAAACCAAAACCGAGGACAGCTCCACAGACGGCGCACTTCATATAACCAACCCAAAATGTTTTCTTAAACATGTGAAATGGTGCTCCTAAATAGGCATCCCAATGTATCGTGGTGAGAAATCAAAAAGCCCATTGTTTGTAAACCCCTTTTTTCTGATCAATAAGCATAATATAAGCTTCCGGACTTGAGTAAGAAGCACGTTTGTTGGCGGTGCACCCGAACTTCAATTGGTGGTACGGTCGGCATTACTGTGTCAGGTATTAGTAGGTGGTAGCCATCGATAACAATGTTGGACGTTATTACCAATTAGTTGCACTGTTCTATATATGTCGCTTTCTGTCTTTTTGTGAATAAGCCTCTCAACATGTGATAGATAGTTTGACCACGACTGGTGTCTGCTATTAGAGGATAAGGGTGCAAAGCCTGCGCACACAAGCTTAGATAATATCGGCAATTTTAGAACACAGGCAAGTAACTCGTAGCCTACGGCGTCGAGAACGCTAGTCATGGGAATAATCAACTGGGAAAACGAAGATGAAACCAGATCCGTGGGAGATTAGAAAGAAAGTTGGGGTCATGTCATGTAATAGGAATAACACGTATTGATGTGAGTCAGGGACACATTGGGTATCGATCGAATGCATGGAAAGAGCAATAAATATAAGGGCGAAAAAAGTGGTGGAAGGACAAAGCAACAAGTGGGAAGGTACGGTCATAAACAATGCAGACATTTTTAGTGGTCATCTGTACCTCAGAACAAGCGTTTAATTCTTAAAGGTTGGCGTTGAGAATGCTTCACAGTATGAATCAATCGACAAGCGTCAGGAAAATTCATCTCCATCTTTTTTCGTGGACCGAATAACCACCACGCGTGGGTTCAACATCATAAGTGAGAAGAATAAGCCGAAGGTATGGAGTGCTGTTAGCTCTGATGTGAAATCAAAGGAAGCTTTGTGCACTCCGAGAGTTGATAAAACCATAATGGTTTTAAATGTAAATGAATAAGGTATTGCCAAAGCAGACATGTGGGGAAAGTTTATTATGAAAGCAGTGCTCAGCCAAAGGGCTCCTTCAACAGGTTGTGCCCAACCACACAGCTACGGTTGTTGAACTCGTCGATCCAATCAAATATCTCAGTTCCTGGGTTTCCTTACACGATCAAGACAAAATGCGCAATGACAGTGCGAAAATGGCATTTCCTTAACTGGTGTTAAGATTGACCTGAGAACCAAACAGGCCACATGTATATGAGACACGTGCTCTGCAAACTGAATGACGACATCAGAGAGGCCTCTGACGCGGAACCGGCTCATACTCTTGCAGGAGTTACAAGCTTCCCATCCACTGAGAAGTGTGTATGAATTTCCGACGTATGCATGTTGAGATGTCTTTGGAAAGATCACAGCACAACAGATGAGTACCGGCAGGAGAAATCCTATTGCAAAACTTATTGAGGTGTCGGAAATTTTTGAAAAGGATGTCTATGACGAACCAGCAACATTTAGATAGGAGCTGAATGTATTTAATGATCATGACAAATTTTTCTTTCAATACACGGGATAGAGGCGGTAACAAAAATTATAACAAGATTCCGTGACAGAGAGTACCAAGAAAGTCGCTAAAATTGAAAGATTTCATAAAAGAACAAAAGGATGCGTTCCTCTTTCAAACATTCCAATATGAATAAACACATTTGAAAAACTCGAAAGCTATCAAGAAAGTCCTTTATGCCTTAGGAGCACAGACTCAACAAGTATAACCTGGGTTGTATTACGAGCCAAAATAAAAAAATTTACATTTCCAGGTGAATATCCCTGGAAGACAAACTGCTTCATGATGAAACTGACCATTGTGTTGTAAAGTATAGGGAAGTATGCCATTCATAAGATTAACGGATCCACTGAAGCACTTCGGTCTTCGAAGGAGTAGTAAATCCAGTCAGAGCAATTGAAAGCCGTTGGGTCGGAAGCACGGAAACCAACGAAGTCATCTGCTCACACACAGCCGATAAGACCCAGCTACAGAATCGTGCCAAATTTATGAATGGACACTAGCTATTTGGCCACCTCAAGAAGCGAATTACAAAGGACCAACACACTCATTGGCATTAGCGGTGGAAAAGTGCACTGCCACTTCACGCGTCAACCACAACAGCCGCTGTCACCAATGCGTAGCTATCCACTTCTATTTTCCCGGACCACTGGCGAATGAAACCGTGGCAGCTATAACCACGGTAAAACAGCTTACACTTGGTGCTTAACGAGAGAATCAACTCAAGTGAAACTTAGCTGTTTGCCTAGTTTATAACCATATGTAACAGTGTTCAATGCATAAAGACCGTCAGCAACCTTATGAATACCGTGCTCCGGCAATAATAAGGAACAGGTGCTCATTGTAGGTGAGATCACGATGGGACAAAGTGGGCCAACATAGAACACCAAGAATAAATTATTGCTATTCATTTTGTTTCACCATACTGAATGCGGAGAGAATCCACATGCGCAACAGAACAATCTCGATGTCATCACCCTGTTCTTCATACAATGAGTCCCAAAGGCTATTCAGCAGAGAACACCAAGCCCATGTGGAATGGAATTCATAATATGAACCGTCATCTCAATATACGCTTCACTCATCTCGCATAACAGAGGACGTTGGCGTAAACTAGCCCGAATGGTCGCACAGGGACGGAAAGAGGGTTGTTCCAACGAGAGCAATATAAAGATAAACTGTACAAGGCCATCACTACTCACAAGTAATCAAAATAAAAAGGCCGGAAGGCAATACTTCAGTAGGCGACGTGCTGATTGAACGTGAAGCTAGAGTAGAATATGTCAAGTTGTACTCTTAGTAAATGTAGAGTGATTTGATGAAGGGTCCCTATTAGCAATTATGAACATCAAATCCAAAGCTGTAGTGTTCTGAAGAAAAAAATTCCCATGGGTAAGACACGATTTAAAAAGTATTCAGCACCAAAGGCATGTGTCAACGTACCAGAAGCTTTACCGGAATACACGGTCAATTTCCACGTTCCGTTTGCCATTTCACCCCAGAAATGCACCGACATAAAAGGCCAAGCGTGGAAGCCAGCGACATCCATGTCCTTGGGCCGTTTGCTCAACAGGATAGACTCGGTACCTGAGGGTGAAGTAAGACGGAGTTCAATCTCCCCCCGCTGTGCGCTGCTGACTGTTACCTGTGGGTCAGGACAAAACGATGATACACAAACACATCGATCGATGTAGTAATATCCTCGGCGATTAAAAAAATACGGTATATCGCCCGACTCGGCCACCCCTCACCTACAAACAAGATGGATTTTCTCGTCTCACAAGGTATTGATATTTCTTAATTCGGCAACGTTTCACTTTTGACACAAAAGCTTCATCAGGCCAAGTGAGCAGTTCATCAAGTTGGTTAGGTTTTAAGGCAGGTGGAGAAACAATCAGTAAGACGTCTTTATATTAGTGCACCAGATCGGTTCTGTGTTAATTAACGGCTCTTGTCGGGTGGTGTGGTTACCAAAATGTTGCGTAGTTCCGATCGGGTTTGGTTAATTAATTTTCCACTTCAAGGTGCTTCAACTGATGGTTCTCCGCGAGTCCCACTGGTAGATTTCGTTGGTATTCGTGGGCTTGTGAGTGATGCGAAAATTTAGTTGGGGGGAGGGGAGGTGGGTAAGGTTAAGTGGAATTTAGATGATGAATATTGATAATCGCACACCATGCACGTCAGCTTGACTGATCCAAAACCGCTCTCCACACGCTTGCCAGTTCCACGCCTTCATTCTGTTAACACTGGGATGCTTGGCGATTTCTACCACCTTGGCTATCAGTCTCTGTGACGTAGACCGTAGTGCTCGACTCGAAACCTCAACATTTCCTAAATCTATTTTGCGTCCCATGTCCGGTGCAGGTTCCGCAATTGCGGAGTCTTTCAGTAACGCGCGATATTCACCTGTGTTTCCCGGGGACCTGTTTATTTTCCCCGTATGCTCTCCGATTCTGGCCGTCTATCCTATCCAGACCAATATTTTGGCAACTACACTTACCGACAAGAGCCGTTAATTAACACCCAACACTGATCTAGTGTACTAATATGAAGACATCTTACTGAATCGCTCTCCGAATGTTTTGAAATCTGACTAGCTTAATGACCTGCTTACTTGATCTGATGAAGCTTTTGTGCCCAAATAAAAACTAACAATTGTTTGTCAACCCCTTCTGAAACGATGACTTCACAATCGGTTCCAATTTTTTTCCAACTGATTGGAGATGGGATTTCACTGCATCAAAAACAGGAGTTAAGAAAATTTCGGAAAAATTAAATATGCATTAATTGGACTCATGACACAAACTTGGAGTATTATTTTAAGAGGAGGAGAGTCAGAAATTTTATCAAAACTTGAGGAATAAGTATATTAGGAGCGTTTCGCTAATGTAAAGGGAAGTACGCCAAATAAAAGCTACGACAAAATCGAAACCAGAAAAGCATGAAGCCGCAACGTACCTTGGCCTGTACATGTTCCAGGTACACTACGCATTGTGTGGGGTCGCCAGCAAAAGCGGCAGTCGATGCGCAGCCATCCGTTGTGAGAGCCAGAACTTCTTTGCTCATGCGTTGTACGGACACGGGCCCACCGGTAATTGGAGCCTGGGCCTCACAAACACGCTGTGGCGGGACATTGGTCCAATTAATTGCCAGATCAACCATCGCACCAGCATCCATTAATCCATAACTGAATGGGGTAATAAAAAGCAACGGACAAAGCCTAGGGCATTATGGAGGTACTTTGCTGCAACTTCATTCTATTGTAGTTTGATTAACGTCATTAAGAGTTCAAACCTGCGGATGGCAGCACCACTGTCCTGTCTCACTTTGGACAGACTGCTCCTCGGGAGATATTACTACGAGCTGAACGTAAGGTGCACCCTATAGGGGGGCGACTGCACTGTCTACTCAAACCATTACGGGACAAAGGATGGATTTCCGTTGTACAGCGGGCGAAGCGCTAGTAAAGCCACCCTAATTCCTCCTGAATGTCACGCCTATATTTCAATATGCACTAACCTCAGAACAGTCTTCCTTGTCTCCTGATGTAATTACACTGACCAGTCTACACCAAAATAAGGAAGCATTGAACTCACTGTTACTCTTATCAGAATTCATCAATAGTGAATATGCGGATTGTCACATCTACATTTTAACAGAAAAAGATCAAATGAGGGACTTGATTTTACCTAAATTTTTCAGGTGAGTAGAGTAAATTTGGGGTATGTTAAAAGGTGTGTCCAATGGTGCTAAATGTTAAGCGAATGACCCCGAGTTTGAATCCAAAGCTCGAACACCATTGAGTTCAAGGTCCTAACATTATAAGCCGAGCAATGGGCGATATTTCCTAAGGCACATAAACAAATTATGGCTAGCGGCTGGCATAAGAGATACGATTATCGAGTGGATATGTCCGGATACAGTCAGATGGATGTATCAATCGGTGTCACGCAGTAAGCCACCATTAAAGTGAAAGCAAGAGCAAAAAGTGAGCTAAACGGAGAAAAATCAGTGAACAAAGAATACTGAGTCGATCGGAAAGATTAAGTGTAGTGGTCCCAAACTTATTGGTGACTTCCTCTGTGTATGCTCCATATGGAATATGCTTAGCGAAAGCAGAGCACTGAACCGAATGGCAAATGCATTCAAATCAAAGCAGTTACTTAATATGAACGTCAAGCAAGAGTGGCACAAAACTGTCACGTGCAAATCAGTAGCATGCACTTACGTCACTCTGGTCCGAACAGTCCCCCTCCTGTGGTGTTGCACTTATTCTGATGAGTTCACGTTAAATAGTGGAAGTACTGAACTAAAGATCATCCTTGACGGTGCCAGGACTTGAACTGACACGCGAAGCAGTGGTAGTAGGACTACACTAACGCACGCTGAATGCATCTGAATTAGCAAATCCGCATACCCTGACCTTTAAACGATGTAATTGGTTTGCCAAAACCAACAGAACGTAAAGCGAACCGCGGTGGACAAGCGGGTCGCATATGAGATAAGTGGACCGAATAACATATTAGTTGAAGTCGTGATACCAAAATATTTCTGAAGTTCAGTAAAGTCTAAGTTCAATAACTGGATCCAGCCTACCTAAGAAGATACGGCCCTGTTTCTGAAAAGTTTACTTATACGGTAGATACATTCATTTGGATACCAATTTGATTTTCACGGGGGGCTCACCAGAATCACAGCCGAATCACTTGTTTTTTTATGTTTTATCTTCAACTGAATTTATAGCACCAGGCCTCCTCATGCTTCAGTTGGTACGATATTCGAGATATCGCAATATATAGATGTATAGACGAAAGACACTACTTAAACAGTTGTTGAGTTCCAAACAACCTTATGATGAGTTTGTTGTGTCTGTAGTTTATCTATAGTGATGACTAATGATCACCAAGGGCCATATACAGTTCTCAATGAAAAGGATCAGTGGCATGTAATCTGAAAACATGAAGTTTATAAAATATCGTCATCATCATCAGGGTAATCAGGAGATCAACCACTTTCGCTCAAGGACAGGACAACTGAATGTGCCGTCACTGGCTTTATCTTGACAAACGACGCGAGTAACACATACAGCATTTTCTGCCTTGTGGCTGGATGTGAATCTGGATTGAACTATTGTGGTGCGCACCAGAATATGTCAACATAGAATTCGCTGAGCTTTCTCGATGACTTCCTTCCAAGCAAAACATGTAAAAACCAAAATCGTGGTCACCAGCCCCTAGTGGATTGCAGACTCCGGGCTCCGAGCTAATTGTCTGACGGGTCAGAACCTTCATTCAGAGGTAACCAAAAATACACTCCATCCGGGTAGCCTATGGAGAATCACCATTTGCACTTTTTCTCTAGTCTAACCCGTTCTCTAATCGCAATAACAGTACGTACTCACATTCTGTTGACACTACAAACCCGAAAGGCAACAAACTTTTTCAAAAAGAAACTGTTTCATCCAGTCAACTTTTGTGACAGGATTTGTCTAACCATCGGCCCTTTCTATCACTGTAAAGTTAGTTACGACTAGCGAATATACATTCATTTGCAAACTAATTTGGTTTTTCGAGAGAATCACCTGGAACCCAGCTGAATCTCTCGTTTATGATGTTCCCCGGCAACTGAAAGTGCTGCACCAGACCGCCTCATGTTTCAGTCGCTACGATATTCGAGATATCGCGATACATATATTTTTTTGTAATGCGCTACTCATACGGTTGTTGAAAACTCCTCGAGAGCTGCTCGAGAACCACCATCAATAGCCGCCTCATGTTCAGTCGCTACGATATTCGAGATATCGCGATACATATATTTTTTTGTAATGCGCTACTCATACGGTTGTTGAAAACTCCTCGAGAGCTGCTCGAGAACCACCATCAATAGCCTACAAACCGTGACTCTGAAAAGCTTTGAGAGATGTAACTTTATTGACCAGCTGAAATGCTTAAAAAGGTGAGATGACGCTCTTTTTGACAATGATCAGGATGGATAAGATTCTACAAGCGGCGGTCAAGGACTTACCCAAAAGCGTGGCTAACACTTCGTCCCACTCCATTGACTCTCCAATCAGAAGCATTAAGACCTTCAGGGCGTGCAGTGTAAACTACCAAGTACTGTAGGTCCCTCCAAGTGAGACGCTTGTTTGCAGACAGAGTAAGAGCACATATTCCAGCAGCAAGCGGAGCGCTGGCAGAAGTACCTGAGTGGTTTCTTGTACAAGTGTGATTTAGATCCGTTGTGATCTGTTAGTGAGAATAAGTGGGGCGTCAGTTTATCTCTTGTCGTGTAAAGGAATAACATAAAACATACCTACAATTTTCATGAGCCTACAGAGAATTTTCCATTGTGGTCAGATTAAATTACCACTATGCACTGCCAAAAGAATTGAAAGGCAACACACACGTAAACCGAGCACTTAACACTTGCTAGGGTACTTCAGGGGCTAGATCAACCAATATAAGAATAAACTAACCACTCCACGTTCTTCCTGACCCCCACTGCTGTAAGTCACAGCAAGTGTCGATGAACACATCTCAGCATACCACGGAACGGACCCGCGTTCTGATACTGAACTCACGCCGAGTGTATATATACTGTTTGTATAACCATCACAATTGCAGTTGTCACCATTCTTGCCACCGTTCCCACTTGCCCATACGAATATGGATCCTAGACCACCACGCCCCTGCAGAAAGAATGAGTCAGCATGAGAGATAACAACAGATAGTGGTGTATTATCAAATTCATCTTATACATAGGGAACACAGTATGGGCGGGTACAACTGCAATAGCAATCCGCAAGCCAGATGACTTTTAAAACTATCAAACTAAACTGTCACTGCATATCCCTGAGGCACTTTAGTTCGTAGTCAAAATTTGGTTGCCGTGAGTCGGTTACCACAGTCAAACTGAGCCCGGGTCAACTATGCGATTCACTAATCTGAAACTCTCTTAAGAAGGATATGAATGCTATACCGAGAAATCTCAGTGCTGCTGGAGCACCGCACCTTAGATGATGGGTTTGTGTGAACATTCCTGTTAGCAGCTAACTTTCATGGCATTATCGTTGCCTTTCCGATGTAGATTTAGGAGGGATCAGGTCTGCAATGAGTCCACACTTTTCTTGATTTTTTCGACTCAAAGCTTTCGTATGACAAAAATATTGTGAACTGGCAGCTGAAAAATCAATCTGTAACATTGTTGATACTGTCAAGAATGACAGCAATGAAGGAAATTCTGACAGGTACCGATGAGCGTTCACACGAAAGCTTTTATGGCAGTAAGGAAAACAATGACACTATCTTCAACGAAGTGGAAAACTGTTTGAAAGTACGAAAAGTGTGATCTTCAACAACAACAGCGACAGTTCCTGATACCATTAAGAGGCCTTAGTCAAGAGAAGGGAGGAACGTTCTGTTCAATATAATGAGCTTCCTAGTTGAAAAAAAACACATTGGGAACAGCCTTACAGGTCTTCTAAGAATGCGTCCCAAACATGTTAACCAGACTCCAAGCGCTAGGAATTTCTCAAAGTGACCAGATGAAAGGACCTATGAAACGCCTATGTGCCCAGTCAAATTCGGGGTCTTCTAAGAATGCGTCCCAAACATGTTAACCAGACTCCAAGCGCTAGGAATTTCTCAAAGTGACCAGATGAAAGGACCTATGAAACGCCTATGTGCCCAGTCAAATTCGGTTCTCGAAAGATTCCCAAACATGTCAAACTTGGTCTAGCGCATACATTACAAATAATAAGACGATACTGATAACAAGGGAACTAACTACTACAGCACCCTGTAATCCAATGAATGAAAGCGTTGAACAGTTTATTTCAGTGCACCACACCGCATCAACTTCGGCTGGGACCTCAGGTGTGTTTATTGGTTGTTGATCAGGTGTCACCAGTGTGGGTGGGCGCCCAACTTCACACTAGTGATGTCTCCTCGTTTGGTGACGAAATGTTTGCAAATTACTTGCCATGCTTGGCGAACAGATCAACAGCTACCTGATCAAGAACAAATTCAGTTGGATCTCCAAAAATTGCCCTGCTAAGCAAGTAACGTCAACCAACTTAGCGTACTAAACTAGTTCGCAGCGGGCAAGATGAACGCAGCTTTGGAATCGACTGAGTGTTCTTCGTGCTTCTATAGTCAGATGCACACCCCTTGATTGGTGCAAATATCATGGCAAATAAGAACGACCAAAATACCAGATACGAAGTGAACAAAACCAATTGACTTAATCATATTAGGAAGTCCATTTCAAATCCCATATCACACTGTGAGTTTTATAGTAAATGATTTATTGAAGTGATTGAAAATGGTCACCACTGAGAAATGAACTCTTCTGAGAGGTGAGCAGTAACAACAAACACATTTTGGCGATGCGTTATCACAGATGTGATCTGAATTGAGTATCTGTGGTCAGTCTACATTACAAAGGACTGTCTGAATGCAGAATAACTTGGTTACTAAACCGGATTTTCAGCAGAAGAAACATATATTTTGTTGAAATCGAAAGTACAAATACTGTAGACTTCGGCTCCAGACTAATATCAACTTCTAGCGACATGCATATCCTATTTCGGCTAGTGGGCCGGAAGGACTTCAAGGAGGAACTGAAAACTTTCTATGTTGCACCATACTTTATTATTAGAAATCAAGCACAAGAGAGGATGTTTACTGACTAGCCCCGTTTCCGCAGGACACTAATAGACTGTGGATGCTACAGTATGTAAGGATAACCTAGAAACCTTGCACAATGAAGGTGCTCTGTCCGTGCTAGCGGGAGTGAGATCATTTCCTACGACTTATAATTCGCCTGGCCTATAATTCGTCCGAATAAGACATTCAACCATCCGTCGATAAATACCACAGGAGGCTATTCACACCAATGCTTTCCACAAAAATGTTAAAATCCCTTTTCAGCATTTCGTACTATATGGTACAAAAAATCATCACCAATACTCAACATTCAGCAATAAATACGCCGAAATGAGGGTTTTCCCATAATGGAACATTACCACGTTCAGTAAAACCAAAAAACGTACCATTACAATGCCATTACGAAAGGCCATCTGAGCTAGCCTCCCGGGACCGTCAACCGTCTTCCCATCATCCTCCGGTCCCCATGAGGCTGAGTAGACGTCAATATGTTGTAGCTGATAGCCCAAGGAGCGCGATTCCATCGCGTCCGACACGTCTCCATCAAGCATACGTACCCCACCAATACGAGCACGATAAGCGATTCCCAGTCCACATATACTGTTGTTTGCCACAGCCGCAACTTCGCCTGCGCAACGTGTACCATGACGACTGTGGAACCAGAACAACGATCAGATCGATAGATTAAAAGCAACTCGTAGAAAAGTTGGAGCGTAATCAGTAAAAAAAACTACTATTATACGGAGGAAGTCACATTTGTTTAGATAAGCGTGAGAAGCGATCAACAATCTACGCAAGGCTCACTCGCTGAGAGAAATGTTGATAGCCGAAACAAAAAGCACCCGAAGAGAAGACACTATGCCCCACGTGACTACTACCAGCATCATCGACACGTGTTAATTCTAGCATGGAAGCGATATACGAAGAAACACAATGAGAACTGGAAACGTGTGCACGTTGACGAAATACACTCCCCAAGTGAACCAGATGCATCTACCGGATGGAAATCATCCGTTCCGTCGATGTACATCGATAATATGTGGACTGTCAGCAAAGCGGTGTTAACGAGCAGTTGTGAAGTGCGTTAAACAAGGAGGAGGAGAACTAGAACCAAGCAAACAAAGGAACAAATGAACAGCAAAAGCAGTCCATTGGATGCGGACACGCATAACAAAGGCAGTGTTTGGACCTACATACAGTTGGGAAATTATACCATCTGTAAAAAACGTGTTGGTAAAAGCATGTTGTGTGTGTCCACCCGTTGCATAGAAAGTCAATTATTATGATAATTAATTGATGATTGCCTGACAGCAATGCAGTAGTCGATTTACCAGTAGAAGAATAGTATAAGTAATTTATCAAATAGGGCTCAAGACGAAAACAAACAGCAAAACGGTGTGTCTAAACTAAGGCCAATTGCAATTGTAGTAAAACATACCAAGCCGTAGCGTACTTCTAGTAGTCGCATACGGAACATAATTCGGACGTACGGCGAAATTATTGAGGATTACTCATGCTTTTATCATCGCCATTAGCTTAAAACAACTGCGGAATTCATTGCGTAACCAGTACTACTCCGAGGGAGACGGAAACATCACGAACAGAGTGAACGCGTGTCTTTCGTGGAACACGAAATGCGGAAGTCGCACCAACATGGACGCAAACGGTTATATTTGACTTATCCATAGGATTTACTTCATGCGTTGCTTCGATGATTCACTCACCCACTGTAGAATTGGCATCCACGTCATTTACGTTTAGGCGGTCTTTCTGCTATTCCGGGGCAGCTATTACGCTCAGTCCATACCCAAAAGGGAAAGCACTAGAATCGAGTATCGCTCTTATTCGAGCTGACCGAAGGTAAACACTTACACATATTACTCAAGAGTGAACATATTCGGCCGTTCAGACGTGATAAACTAGGTTCATTAAGCGAGTAGGGGTTGAATCCTCGCATACGGTCACATGAATACGAGACCGCGCATTCATACACGGCAGAGCAAATTGCCTCAACACTTTTTGGAGAGGAGGGTCAGTGAGGTAATAGCAACTTAGGCTCGAGACAGCTCAGTTATTGGGGCACCAAATTACGGACCGAAAAGTCCTGGTTCGAACCCAACCCCAGCATTTCGGCTGCTCCTGTCTAGGCTTGGTAACCCGACAGCATCCCAGCACTTGTGTTTCCTTCTGTTGGCGTGACAGATAAACATCAAAAGGACTTTGCAGCTAAAAGATTTGATTTGATTTGAGCAACCTGTAGATGAACACAGGGAGCATAATATTGGAAAAAGAATCAACCGAGTTTAGTTAAGCATACCGCCAGGTTGTCCGTTTCCACCTTGATAAATGGGCGGTCTACGGGAGTATCAATGCCGAGCTATAGTAGGGAGGTGCAGTATTGCCGAGAAACATAAGGGACCTGACGGATTACATCAGTGCCTTCACGACACAAGTGACTGGTGCCGGTGTTTACTGCTGTGTCATGGTGTTGAGCAGGCTGATAGCTATCAACAGTCCACTGCACCTTTCCAAATATCTTAGTGCTTCAATTCTACATCGGTAACACGGACTTGCGTAAAACACGATTTTCGAATCCACTCAAAGCGTCTAAAGGTCGCTAACTATGCACAGCCGTCAAGTGATCCAATCACTTTTTGCTGAATCGTATGTTACATTTATATATATATATATATATATATATATAATGCATATATGGTTGTCACCATCACTATCTCTTCAAAGAAGTGCACAATATGACGAAAATAATCGACAAGATACGTGCACACACATTTTTGTTGGGTTTTCAGCCACTGGAGATCCCAAGTTTGAAACAAACTGTTGCCTTTAACTGATGGCCGCCGATAAGCGAGAAAGGGGACAAAATGAAAGCAGAAAAAGCATGTACGGATGCAAAGAATACGTGCGACACTAGTCTGCTGGCAGCGGATCAGAGCAACGGTTTACGGAAATTGGGTGACACTTTGGTGTGTGTGCATGAATAGACTTCAACACACTATGAACTTAACTGAATGCTTTGGCCACGAACAACCGGTATGCCAACATTAGCGCGTTGAGCCAAACAAGGGACCATGTGCTTCACCCGGAATAACCAACTAATTAAATCGTTGCTTCATCCACTTTTGACTCAGAAAGACTTCTACTAGACTGGAAACATAAGGGAAATTGACTCCGCAAACATTACAATTTGGGTGGTTAGTCCTTCTAGTAAACTGCCGCCAGCCAGTTCGACTTACTGATCGGATAAAAGAAAACCTCAGCCGACGATCGAAAGCTAAGATTACTCGTTAACGAAGAGTAGAACTAAGCGAAGGCATTTGAAACAACGTAACGGACAGTGAAAACAACACTATGCTGTTTACAGAGTCCTGACCAGCGGAAAATATCCCACCTGTCTACAGGGCAACAGTTGGTTTCGTTCAGTGGCGTTCACGGTGGCAATAATTATCCGAGATGCAACTACCATGAATATATTCCAGTTGCAGATGAGTAGTAGAACCGGATCTCCGTGGATAAAAATGGTGAGAGTAAAAGGTATTCAGATACAGCCCCATCAACCACATATCACCTCACAAGAGTGAGGCTGCATCCGCATGAACGTCAATGAGGAGAAATACCCGAGAATAGACAAACGAGAACAGAAGTAAACTCTTATATGAGTTGTGTACTTAATTTCATCTTATACTGACAAGTGTCATTTACACAGCGGATCCATAGCTCTGAATTCATGGTCGGTACTACCAAGCACCCTGAGTTTTGAATCACCACCTCAACGATAATCCTGATATTGGGGATCTCATTGGAATCTTTTTCAGAAATATATGTATTTGTCCGTCAAAGTTCGTATATCTAATCCGACAAACGTCCAAGAGATTACAAAGACTTTCGGGTTTCATTATTTAGTCGTGTCTAAGGAGAAAACCAACTGAGAAGTTCCAGAAAGGGATGAATATTTTAGAACTGAAGCCCAGAGAAACCACGTGGAAAATTGAAGTTCAAAGTAAAGCAGGCAAACAGAAAATTCGTTTAGGTATGCAATAAACGAAAGCGAAATTCGTGGCCATACCAGCATTTTTGAAAGGTTCAGTTAGACTGTAAAATGAAGAGGAATTTCAAGCTACGCCCGCAAAGATTGAAAAAAATAGAAATAGGTATTCACAGAAGTAAATATGTATCAAGCCACAAGTGTATCCTGCGTGCTATGCGTAAAGTTTTACCACAAAAAGCCGACGCGAAGTAAGAAAGTTTTTGAGCATACTGCTTCTCCTTTAGAGTGACTGCGCGGATTTAGAAGTGGAGAGTTGATCATAAACATTATTTAATAACAAACCCTTGTATTTAAAAGGATGTCTGCATGGTAGAAAAAATCAAGGAAACTTCCTCTGGAAATTAGGGCCAGGGTTTAAGAAGCAGTTCAGCGCGATCCACTAATCCTTCTTATTACGCCTTATCAGTTATGCAGTAATCATTCGAGGTTGCCTTATGCGGCAGGGAAATTATGGTTGAAACTGTTTGATACTCGGTTTATTACTACAACAAATTCCAAGTTTACTTGTCTTTTCTCTTGGTCCCAACCTGGGATCGAATCTTTCGAAACCGAGGGATCTGACACACATTCCAAACGCAGCGAACAGCGGCTATCCAACCGGATCCGGGAGAGCATTTTGAGAACACAAAATGTCCGCGGCACACTTCCACCCTCTCAACGGTCCTGATAGGGTACAGCTAACTACCTTAATGATGACGCCAACGGTCAGCGATAACGGACAAATTTTCCTCAAAAGCAAGGTTTCACACCAACTACTTTGGAGCGGAATCAAGTGTTGTCACTGAGAAAGTGCGACTGAATTTAGAAAACAAATCGACGGAACCTCTACCATAACTCGAGTGGTATCTTGCGTAATGATAAGTCGATCAAGTTAAGACAGACGGATCTCGCACGCAACCAAAATGGATAGACAGAAATCAAATCGTGCTAGTAACACCTTTGAAAAGTCATTTTTCAATAATTGACACACTGATAATGCTCAAGTGGCAAAAACCCGAAACGCAGTTGAACTAGCATTCTCTCTTCAGCCAGCTTCTAGTGAGTTGAATTGATTAATTTGAAAACTATGGCCCAACAGTCCAGAAAAAACCTATGCACCGAAACGATTGCATCTGGTGTCCCAGACAATGTAATAGCGATGCGATTGGTATTTTAAGGATGGACGATAATTATGGGTGAGACAAAGTGAGGAGAAAAGCAAGGATTCAGTCAAAGACGAATTGTTTACCACGCCTCCAAAATGCAATGTCGTACGTTCAATGGGAGATTTCCTAAGTCAGAAGAGAGAACAAATCATTTTATATGCTGACTGCTCAATCATATGAACGAAGGATTTGATACCGATGAGGAGAGGAACGCGTATTTTTCGGTTTTCAGTAAATTTAATGAAATGGTGGTCCTCAGCTGACCGAAATCTGCATAAGGGGCCGGGTTCAACGCCCAATCGGGAAGGGAAGTTTCAGATTTGAATATTCCACTTGCCTGAATATTGGTTTTCGAATCGTTCACCTCGTTCACCTGACTTATAAGTTTTGCCCGTTTTCGTTTCATTCGCTTTGTTGTTTTATTTATTCCTGTTATTTTC